ACAGAGAAATCAAGAGGCAAGAATTCTAGTTCCATTTCTGTCTCAAATTACTTTGGAAACAACTCTTTGTTTTCATTTTTCCCACCTCATTTTATATCTATCCCTCTTTAGTCATTTAATAATTGCTATTAAATATATATTACATTAAATATATATTGTTTCAAAGTTTTATCTATGCATATCTCACATGCCCATCTGGACAAGGCTCCTTAAAGGCAGACCCCACCTCTGATTAACATTTTTATCTTTACATTTATTTATCTTTACATCTTTATATGGCCAAGCTAGACTGTAAGCTTCAGGAAAAGAGGGGTTTTACCTATGTATCTCCAGAATTTAACATGATATGCTAATAATGTGTAAAAAAATCAGACATTTTAATAAATTAAAAACCTGAAAAAAAGAGAGTGGGGTGGAGAGGAATGAATAGGTGTAACACAAAGGACTTTTCAGGCAGTGAAAATATTCTGATTCTATAATGACGAATATATGTCATTATATATTTGTCTAAAGACTTAGAATGTATAACACCAAGAGTGAACCCTAAAATTAACTACAGACTTTGAGTGATCGTGCTGTGCCGTGCTAAGTAGCTTCAGTCATGTCCGACTCTTTGAGACCCTATGGACTATGCCAGGTTCCTCTGTCCATGGGATTCTCCAGGCAAGAATACTGGAATGGATTGCCGTGCCCTCCTCCAGGGGATCTTCCCAAATCAGGGATTGAACCCGAGTCTTTTATGTTTCCTGCCTTAGCAGGCAGGTTCTTTATCTCTAGCATCACCAGGAAAGGCCCTTGAGTTGACCATGATATGTCAATACAGGTTCATCTATTATAACAAACACAGGTTCATCAATCATACCTCTCTGGTAAGAGTTGATAATGGGGGAGGTTATGCATATGTGAGAACCAGGGATACATAAGGATGTCTCTGAACTTTCCTCTCAAATTGGCTATGAACCTAAATCTGCTATTTAAAAAAAAAAAAATAGTATGTTTCACAATTAAAGAAAAATGCTGAGAACTTATTAAATCCAACAGAGTTCATGTTATTTTTTTATTTATTCATCATAATATTAACCTAATTTATGATAAACACCCACTATATGAGTAGTTCACTACTATTAACTCATTTAATACTTAGAAAACCCAATGAGACAGGTACTGTTGTGATCTTCATTTTTCAGATGAGGAAACTACAGTCCAAGAGATTAAAGAACACCCCCAAGACTGCACATCTGCTAAACAGGAGAGTCAAGATTCACCTAAGAAGTGCTGGCCCCAGAGTCCATGGGCCTTATCCTAATCTTCCAGGTAACCAAAATTCATTATTCAGAGAATCACTTTTGCCTTTATTTCATGTATCTTTTCTTTCAAATCTGAGGTTTCTTGAGGTTGAAAACTAGTAATTAAATTACCACATCAATCTTCTCTTTAGGCATCTGATAAGATGGAATCTGTGGGAAGGGAAAACCATACCAAAGATATATTGCATCTTTTTCAGATATTTAGTTCAATAGAAAAATGGAAAAAAGAAGGACTGGCTTGTAAGGAGCATATGTTTTCACTTCCAGGATTGTGAGTTTTATACAAAAGTTATCCTATACTATTAATAATTAAAAGTAGTACAATTCTCAGCCTATTTTTGATTGCCTCTGTTGTTATTACTAAAGTTGGGTGAAAAGGGGTTGTACAAGATGGCTGGTCAGATACAGAATATGGTTCAAGCAAAGACAGACAGGAGTCTTCACTAGACAAACAAAAGGAAAGGAGTTAGAAAAATGATCAGGTTAAAACAAGCAAGCAAAAAAAGAGTAAAGAAGAAGTCCGGAGACTGTAAGGTCTCTGGAGAAGAGAAGCTGAGAAAACTGTGGAACCAAGGAGATCAATTTCTATGAATATCACAATTCTACTTAACCTAGAGTCTGGAAAAATTAAAAATAAATGGCATTTGTTTATGAATAAAGAGTAGACTTGTAAAATGGCACATTGCAATGGCTATATTTTAATTTTTTTAAATACATAAAGATTCTGCATTAAGCAGTGGTCAAAGTTTTTCATGTTATTTCCTAATAGCAAAAATTCTACATAAATACAGTTGTTTCTAATAACTGTTACACAGATACTACCAGTATCTGAATGACAAAAATCAATGAAAACATCAATCAAGTAATTTATTGAGCACTAAGCACATGAATAAAAAATATTCTACTCTGTTATTTTCTCTCATTGATCGTTAAGTTTTTCAGGTTAAGGAAAAGGATGTGGAAGCAAAGTAATCACGTAAGGAATGATCTATTGCTCAAATTTTAGTCTGCAACAAAGAGACATTTACCCACAGGTTCTATGTATTTAGCAATCATTTTCTCAGACAAAGAGATCTCCAAAAAGATCTCACTGGCCAGGCTGAAACTTGCACAGGTTCCTTTTGCACGGTTTTATTAAAGGTACCACAGGTACAAGTAACCTAGGCAGCTTTGTCATGCAAAATGAGACTGAACAGAGAAACATTCATCCAGTTCTTGGTATGATAACTCAACATTAAAAGTAACATTACAGAAATCTGCACCATAAGGAAATGTTATGGGGGAGAGGCTGGGGGAGGAGGGATGGACTGGGAGTTTGGAGTTAGTAAATGCAAACTATTACAAATAGAATGGATAAACAACAAGGTCCTACTGTATAGCATAGGGAACTATATTCAGTAAAGTGTGACAAACCATAATGGAAATGAATATTAAAGAGAATATATACATATGTATAACTGAATCATTCTGCTCTATAGCAGAAATTAACACAACATTGTAAATCAACTATATTTCAATTAAAAATAACAAAATAAAATAGAAATTACAAGTTGGTTAAAAAAAAGAGAGAGAGAGAAAGAAAGAAAATGTTATATCAATGATTCAAAGATAGATCTTACCAAAAAATAGGAGAAAGCATAATGTATGCTATTTCTAAGTTACAAAGGATCAGCAGTATGATACAACACATACATTATTTGTTGAATTTACCGAAATCTACCTCTATGGGTTTTTATTTCCAAAGATATAACTAACAATTTGATCCTTTAATGAACTATTTATGCATGTAGCAAACAAAAAACAGGGCTGAATATAAGCAACCTGACTCTAGAATCCAAATTTTTAATATTTCTGCTAGATTTGTTATCTGAGCTTTAATTTATCTTGAAGTGAAGTGAAGTCGCTCAGTCGTGTCTGACTCTTTGCGACCCCATGGACACCAGGCTCCTCCGTCCGTGGGATTTTCTAGGCAAGGGTACTGGAGTAGGTTCCCATTTCCTTCTCCAGGGAAACTTCCCAACCCAGGGATCGAACCCAGGTCTCCGGCATTGTAGACAAACGCTTTTCTGTCTGAGCCACCAGGGAAGTCCTTTAACTTATTTTAAGGAGGCTGAATTCATTGACAGCTTTATTTTGCTGAATCAGAGCTTTTTCTTTTCAGTGTTGTGTTAAGCTCCAGTAACAGATTATAAAGAAATTAGTACAAAGACAATGTGCTGTGAGGTTGACCCAGCAATGACAGCCATCAGCCCACTGCTGTCAGAGATGAGCCCATTAATCTTGCTTCAGTGCTTTTAGCATTAGTTTTACACAGCTCCATCCACTCACCTACCACATAAGCAGCCCTCCTAGAGCTGTGCACCCTGAAGAAGCATATGGCTCTCCAGGATTGCCAAGAAACATCCTTCTGTTCAGGAATAATGGAATCAACTAGCACCTAATAAGAACCCACTGAAATCTTCATAGACACATAACCCTAAATGGAGAACCTTATCTTTAGAACTATAACTATGAAGTAAGAGACTTTTAATAAAACAAACAAACAAAAAAGCAATTCAAAAACAAAGCAATTAAAACAATGGATTGATTCCCTCACCCCTCTTCCCAGGAATAAAGATAAGTTTAACATGCTTTATTTTAAAGTAGAAATAAAACTGTTATTACCTTATAAATTACTCACCGATGATAATAAAAATATACTTTTACATAACCCATCTCTGTTAAGCTCTATAATCAGCTAAAAATAGGCAAATCTTTTAAAAGTTTAAATTCCAAGATCTAGCACAGAAGGGAATTTTCACGACGGATAACTTTCTGTTACCAGGTACTGAACCTCACATGAAGATTACTTATCAACTTTCCAAACTGGTAAATGGACTTTTTTGGTTAAACCATATAAACTCAGTCACACAACTCACAATGTAGGTACTGACACTATTCATTGTTCAGTTTACTCATAATTAAATCAAGCATTTGTAGGGAGTGGAATCCAAAAACCATGTTTGGTTGGTCCAACATATGGACCATGTTTCTTTGTTGGTTGTTTTTTTTTAATGGTTGGGCTGGAAAAGCCCTGATAGGTCATGCACAGAGAGACTTTCGAGTCATAATGAGTAATTAGATGGTCAAGTGGCAATGGAATAGAATGAAGCAGCCACTTAGTCACCAGAATGAAGACTCTAAACTGAAATCCTTTAGTTTTACCTTGAAGCCAGAACTCAAATTCTTGGTGAGGCTTTGTTTGCTTTTTTTTAACTTAATGTAACTGACAAAATATTTAAAAATTATTGAAGATGCCTCTCCTCAGATAACATATTTCATGAAGTCCTATTTCATGTTTATTTTTGAATATTATTTTCAGGAAGTTATTGAACCAACCCAGTCTGAATATTATGCTCAACTCTGTAAGACTACTTCTTCCAGAACAGAGATATATGTCTGTCAGTAAGCAGCTCTTTGCCAAACAACCAACAAATTTTGTACCTAAACTACCTTTTTCCATATGTTGAAATATCTTCTGTACTTTGAAGATTTTGTGCCAATATATTTAAACATTTTCTCAAGAACAGTGGTGGAGGAGGACGAAAGAAATCATCTCTCATTCCTATGGGGCTAGAATTTACCTCTAAGTATTATATACACAGTGAGATCCAATGACATCAAATCATGAACCAGAAAAGAACGGATGATTACCTGATATTCATTGGGCCAAAAGGTGCTCACTGCTAGCTCAGCCCGAAGCCAGTCTCTACCCGTGAATCCAGTCACATTCCAAATTGGATTGGCAAGAGGTCCTTTATTCACCCTAACCAATATGTTCAAAGTGCCAGGACTCAGCCCCTTCTGGCTATATAACAGGTAACTGAAGTCAATACAGTGAGTGTCGTTCTCCTTCATTGTAGGCAGCTGAAGTCTGGCTTTTTCTCCAGGGTCATGATCTGAAGAGTCCACTATCATATAGGAACCTGAAATGATATCACATAAAATAAGATCAAGTAGATATATAAGCAAAAGGGAAAATATAATAACAGAAATAAAGCTAAAAATGATACCAATCTATTCTGAGTATTAAATTTACTTTAAAAAGACTATGTCTTCCCAAACAGAGATATAGAAAGATATCAAACAAGTAAATAGATGAATTGAATTCATAGTGGGTAACAGACATTGTTCAAAGTACATAACATGTACAAATTAATTTACTCTCCACAACAATCTGTTATTATTCCTATTTTACAAATTAGGAAACTGAGGCACAATTAGTAACTTAAAGTCAAACAGGTCATGCAGAGCCTGGTTCAATCCATATTCACACCCTAAATTATCTCTACTCTTACTAAACAAAGGTCTTTTAGCAAACAACCAAAGAAACGTATTATTGGCCTGATTTACAGAGGGAGTGCATTATTCCTTTCCCCACCCATAATTCGAATGCAGAGAGGGGCTACGAGTACAGGCACTGGAATCAATTTCTGACCTCAGATCCCAAGATCATCACATATGCAAGTTGTGTGACCTTTTGCATTGTTCTAAAAACTCTGGACTTGCTCAAGGAATAAGAATACTTTGCAGTGTAAGTGTGAGGACTGAAGTGTAAAATGCCAAAATTTCTAGAACTGAGAATTTGACACAAAGCAGATCACCCACTTGGAGCCTCTTCTGCTAAGTTGACAGTTGATCACCACTCCTATTGTCCTTGAATCTGCAATAGTCTCTATGGTATTATAGAGCTACCAGAGACCTGGTTTGAAATCACTTATCTACTCCACTACCTTTGGCTTAATAAATATTCATTTGGAAATCTGACAGGAGGAAGAAAAGAACATAAAGAATCTCAACCTCCCAGTTCCTCATACTTCCACCATCAAACACACTTGTGTGGCAAGCAAAGTCATACACAGATAAGTGTAAAAATGGGATTTGAACATTAACTGCTGATATTAGTCCAAGGACCTTTAAAAAAAAAAAACACCGTTTTTCTCATGTCCCTGTGGATGTTAACAAAGACATATATTACAAAAATGTAAATATTTACATTTCAGGTAATGATACCCATTTATCATGCTTAACGTAGAACACAAATTATATTGTAAAATATTTTTCCCTAGGGTGTAATTTTAACACTCCCCCCCAAATGTACTATATGTAGTGTTACAGAACCCATTGTTACAAGGGTTACACTTGGACCTCTCTTCTTGACAAACCTGAGGAACCTGATTGAAAAGTCAACCCAGTGCAATTAACACTCAATTTACAAGTTCAAATCACAGCACATAGGAGGGTTTCAACCATTCAAGAAACCAAAATTTCAAGATTTCAAGTCTGACCAATTCCTGATCAGTGGGTATTACATGGTTCAGAACTTTTGTGCAGATTTCAAGTGATAACACTGCTAGTTATTTAAGCCAAGGACAGAATAAGCTTACTACACTGATCATCAGGGAGAAGGCAATGGCACCCCACTCCAGTACTCTTGCCTGGAAAATCCCATGGATGGAGGAGCCTGGTGGGCTGCAGTCCATGGGGTTGCGAAGAGTCGGACAAAACTGAGCAACTTCACGTTCACTTTTCCCTTTCATGCATTGGAGAAGGAAATGGCAACCCACTCCAGGGTTCTTGTCTGGAGAATCCCAGGGCCGGGGGAGCCTGGTGGGCTGCCGTCTATGGGGTCACACAGAGCTGGACATGACTGAAGCGACTTAGCAGCAGCAGTAATCATCATTGACATTACTTTCCCTTAATTTTTCTCAGTTCTCCTCTTCTCTTGTAACCTGAAATTCTTTTCTTTTCTCTTCTTCCCCCCTCCCAATTTTTACAGATTGCACATCCATAGAATAAACTATCCTTGTATGTTTTGAAGAAATTATGTCCTTTTCTTTTAAATCAGATATTTAATTTGTAGAAGCAGGATGCTTCTGTTCTTGGTTATCCTCACATTCTACAGTCCATCCTGAACTGTAAAGATGTCTTTCAGATTCACCACAGCAGAACAGATCAATCACAGCTTTTAAGAAGGACCAGATCTGAGATCTTAGATAAGTGACTTAGTGTTATTGGGCCTCAGCTTCTTCACAAACATAGTGACCTATTTCTCCATGGCTTTCACTATTTTTTCAGTGACATATTATGACATTAGTGGATTTAAATTATTTTTACAAGTCTGCATCAATTATGACTTTGACTGTCAATTTTCAAATAGTGCTCTCTAAATGACTTACAGGCTTTCAAATAGTTATTTTCTTCCATTATGAAATAAAGTTTGAAATAAAATGTTTTGTCTCACATTTTATTTATATAGTATGATATTTACCATTAAGACCATTTAGCCATTTTCAGCCAGTTGCACTTTTAAGTTACAATAATTTTCTTATTAAGAAAAAGGGATAAGCAAAGTATATTAATTTGTAGGAATTCCAATTTGATCATTAGAAGTCACAAAATAAAACCCTGCCAAATTATTTCAGCATTTCAAGGACATTCAATGCAAGCTAAATAAAGTTTTAGAAGTGTTGATATTTCCTTTTTATAAAATGTTTCTGCTAAATTAACTTCTTTCAATGTAGCCTGACTACTGCTACATTTTTGGAGTGCTATGGAATATCGTGCCTTTATTTCACAGTTCCAGAAGGGAAGACGCAAGCAAAAGCATCAAAAAGCCATCGAAATCCTTCTGCCATCTGACTTCACATAGTGGCAATTTACCCTGTAGGCACCATGGAGGTAGCGTTTGACACAAGATTCCCTTCCATCATCCCAAACACAGAGAACACTATGCTATTCTTATCAACTTCTAAAAATTACTTCCACAGTCTCCCAGAATAACTGGCTACCAAGACATAGAATCAACAAAGTCTGTAATATGCACTTCCTCATTCTTCACGTTATAATTTAAGCGTATTTACTATTGTTTAGTTATCAGCTAACTAATCCCTCAGATTTCTAATGAGTTTGGTTCTATTCTGCTGTAATTTAGCTATCTCAAGGCTTAATAATAAAACATCTGTGTGCACATAAATATAATGTACTAATTTTTAATAAATGTGACTTCTTTAGTGTGGCCTTACAAATATTCCTTATAGTCTCGTGAGCAACAGAGTTCTCAAATATATCATTTAAGACAGAGGAAGAAAACATAAATGCTTGTAATTAAAACTTTTAAGAAGTATAACCTTTCTGGAAAGCAATTTGCCAATGAGAATCAAAAATCTTTCAAAACTTATATGCCTTCTGCTCTGACAATTCCAAATCTAGGAAGGTACACTAAATAATCACGTGTATGTACAAAGATAAAGCCTTAAAAAAAAAAAACTCTCATTTTCCTCATTAAAATAAGGAAAAGAAAAAGTATTTAAAATTCCAATAATAGGCAATTTGTAAAATTATGATAAAAGTTTGATGAACACTTATGCAGTCATTAAAAATGATATTATTAAAAACATTTAATGGAAAATACAATATGTTAGGTAAAATACACGTTATAAAATATTATACTCACTTATGAAAATATATATTTATATTAAATAAAAGCATTGGTATAAGTGAGTGGGTGTATTCATATATGAACACATAAACATGTAGATATAATTGAAAGAAAACAAAAATGCATAGAAAATGTCAACTGTATCATCTGGGCAGGGGGGTGCTGTACTTTGTCTTCTGTTTTATTTTTGTTCATATATATTCACTGAATGTTCTACAATAGGCATGCAACAGGTTTGTACTTTAAAGAAAGACTACACGAATGCCAGCTTACATGAGGACCATCGAATGGATAATGATAAATACTCAGGAAATAAACGCAGCATTTGTTTTGGTTTTTTGCCTTTTAAAAACTAATCCTATTTGTATCCCACAGATTAACAGCTTCTTGGCTTTTGAAAAAAACAATACAAAAACTAGGACCTTCTTATTTACTTCAATTCATTAAAAAAGAGAGGCTGCAAGTACTTAGCAGCTTTTACTTAGAAAGTCAAAGAAAACAAATTCCATATTCATAAACACCACAGTCCAAAATCTAGATAAACAATGCCCCTATGAATTTTCTGTATTAATGAAAATTTTATCTTTATGCTATACTTAAGGAAAAAACATAGTAACAGAGAAAATAGGATTAACTGCTAAGAAAATAATGAATGATGAATAGATTTCTACACTTCATCCTAAACTTCCTTCATTTTATATATATATATATATATCTTTTTGAACACTAACAATATTTTCATTAAGTCAGTTCTTATTCAAAATCCATTGTATTTTCCCTGTAAAGTAAGCAGAGAGAAATTTCCACTTCTGTGCTTAGTACTAACCACGCTCCATAATCTTGCCCAAAGTACTACATCTACATTACCTTTCACTACTTCTCTTCACAAACCAGCTTCCCCAACCTGACAGAGCACTCACTATTCTCCCCACATATCACACCAGTTTCCTCCTTCAGAATGGGTTCAGTCTCTTATAAGAAAGCCTCCCCTCATCTGAGCCCCTAGTCAATTATTACATTATTCTTCTTCAGCCCCAGCCCACCCTGACCTTCCCCTGCCTTTAATATACAGTTTCAGCCTTTTTTGTTCTATCCCTTAATTAGACACTGTCTTTACACAATTACATAGGAACATTTATATCCTGCAAAAGAGTAATAATATCCTCTTAGAAAGTACATGATTCAGTCAAGAGGCCAATCAAAAAAGAAAAGCCACACAAAAAAAATGTAACAGTAAAAGTATAATATAAAGAATTATTAACTATAAGAAGGTGATGTTGTTGATCAGTTGCTCAATCATATCCCACTCTTTGCGACCCCATGAATTGAAGTATACCAGGTTTCCTTGTCCTTTACTATCTTCTGGAGTTTGCTCAAACTCATGTCCATTGAGTCGACAATGCCATCCAATCCTTTCATCCAAGAGTATAGAGATTTTAAAGGTATATAGAGAACCCTAAGGGATAACCGCAATACCCAAGGAAC